AACTTTTCTTTTAAAAATGTAGATGCTATAGGTTGTCCCTCATGCCTAGAATGTTCTCATCTCTACCTTCTGGCTAAAGGAAATGCTTCTCAGTTCCCCTTAATTCTCCTGCCTTCCTTCTGTTGATTATTTTCTATTTATCCTGTATTTAGTTTAAATATAGTTGTTTACATGTTTATTCCTCCATTAGACTATTGACTCCTTAAGAATAGGTACTGTCTTTTTCCTTTCTTTGTATTGTGGCACTTATCATGGTACCTGTCACATAGCAGGTGCTTAATAAATGTGTATTGGTTGACTGACCAATCTGACTGAATTCCTTCTTCTCCCATGATTTTCATCTGAAAACTTTTTCACATGACCTCCCATTTTCTTTCTTTTCCTTAGTCTCTGACAAAGAGGCATCCCTCTCCTTGCCAAGACTATCTCTTCTACATATGTACTTGATCCCACCACCCTCTCTTCTTCTCCAGTAGATTGAATCTGTTCTCACTTCCTGTCTATCAGTTCCTTCCCTATTGCCCTCTAAGATGTATGTCTCCCCAACCTTTAAAAAAATATGGAATCCTTATTATCTGACAGCTCTCCACCCTTTTTCAGATAAACTCCTTGAAAAAGCTATCTCTATTCACTGCCCCTTTTCTTTTCTTCTCACTCATTAACCCTGTGCACTCTGGCTTCCACTCTCATCACTCAGTGAAATTGCTTTCTCCAAAGTTACTAGTGATCTCTTAATTGCTAAATCAAATGATCTTTTCTTTGTCTTCATCTTTTTCAAACTATCAGTTGCATTTGATATCACTGAACACCCTCTCCTAATAGACACTCTTTTCTCTCTGGGTTTGTGTGACTCTACTCCTCCTGGTTCTCCATCTACCTGGTGAGCTATTCCTGTCTCTTTTGCTGGCTCACCATCTTTATCATGTCCCCCTAACTGTTGGTGTTCCCCAGGTTCTATCCTAGATCCTCTTCTCTTTTCCCTCTACACTTTCTCCTTGGTAAGTTCATCAGCTCCCATAAGTTTAACTATCACTTTCATGCAGATGATTCACAGATCAATAGATCTAACAACCCCCATCTCTCCTCTGAGTCTCAGTCTCAAATCACCAATAACCTTTTAGACCATTCAAACTGGATGTCCTGGAGGACTCTCAAATTCAGCCTGCTCCCCCCTGAACTCTTCAAACTTCCCTCTAAACTTTCCCCTCTTCCAAACGTCCTCACTATTGATGAAGTCACCACTATCCTTCCAAATTTGTGACCATGGCATTATCCTGGACTCATTACTGTTTCTTATCCAAACTATCTTATCAATTTCCAAATCTTGCTGTTTCTACCTTCACAGCATCCAACCCCTTCTCTCCATTTAAACAACTTCTACTTTAGAAGCAGCCCTCATCACTTCTTGCCTATTACAATAGCCTAATTGCTGACCCTGCCTCAGGTCTCTTACCACTTGTCCATACTACACTCTAACAAAGTAAGTTTTTTTTTTTTTAAATACGGATCTGAACATGAGACTACCTGAGTCAATCACCTGCAATGACTTCTTTTTGCCTTTAGCATAAAATATAAAATCTTCTATTTAGTTTTTAAAACCCTACACAACCTGATTCCAACATATTTTTCCAGCCTTATTGTATATTGCTCTTCTTTCTACATTCTGCAATCCAGCCACACACTTTTTCTGTTCCTCACATATTACACTCCTGTCTCCATGCCTTTGATTTGGCCATTCATCCCATGTGCCTGGAATGCACTCCCTCCTTGCCTCTGTTTCATGGAGTCCTTCTCTTCCTTCAAGAGGTAATTCAAGTAACATCTTCTTCATAAAGCTTTTCCCCAAATTGCTTTACATTTAACTATTTTTTATATATTTGCATTTATTCAATTTATATTAATGTTATATATATAGATATATGTATAAATACATACATATGTGTGTATGTGTCTTTTTTCTTTCCTATCTTTCTTTACCCTTATATCCACAGTGCCTAGACCAGTGCCTTGCACATAGCAGGTACTTAATAAATACAGGATTGGTTGATTAATGGGAGCATGGATGTCATACTCAAGTCATGTAAGATAAGGAGGCATAGATGAAGTGATATCTGTACTACCATCAAAGATGGTAGTAGGTATTTATTTCTGTTTATACTGAAAATAAAGCTGTTGATCTTTTTAAAAAGTTCTTTTGATGAGTGTGATTCATTTTTAAAAGAAAGTAATTCATCTAATTACAAAGTTGAACAAATCATTTATTAAGGGTTTCAAAGAGAAAGCAATGAAGTCAGTCACAAAATTCCTATTAATCTGGAATGAGTTCATTTGAATATCATCCCAAACTTTCACCTCCGAAGATTTGCATTTTCTAGAATAAATGAAGACAATACCAGAATAGGACATAGCAGCACTGGCATTAGATCTAGCTTTTCCACTCATTTTTTCACTTGACAATTGGCAATTTATTTCACTTCTCTGGACTTATTTCTTTGTATATAAAATGGAGTAGTTTTGCAAAATAATTTCTAAAGTTCCCTCCATCTCTAAAATCCTGTGGCATAATTGAAAGATAAGATTTATAATTGTCTAACAGGCCATTTTTGAAACACAAAGCATCTGAATATTTCAACGTCATTATGACTCAAAAAGAGGCCAGCAGGTATAATTGCAGATCAGATAAAGAATCTTTGGGATATTGTTGAGAAGTATATATCTATATCTATCTATCTATCTATTTATCTATGTATATATATACATACACATGTGTGTGATTAAATTTATGATTTATTAATTGTAATTAATTGACAAATTAACCCTAAATAATTGAGCATTCACATGCCTAAACAAGCCAATATTTTACTTACACTCATACACATGCTCTTTCTTTAATAGACAATTATTCATGGCATGAAAGTGACCCTGGTTTCTTGAGGTCTGTGCCAGGGAGTCAGGCTTTGTACGTTTCTAGGAAATTGGAAACATTTCAGAAACAGTCATGTAGCGCATATTGTCTAAGTGCTGGCCTAGTTAAATTCAGATAGACACATTATTATAAATTTGGTCAACAGGTAAAAGATGGTTATAGTTCATTAATAATCAGTCTTCATAATTTGCTTTAACATGCTATTTGATCATATAAAAAAATGTAGTTTTGCTTACAAGATAAAAATATCCTCATAAAGGTGGGTTAATCGTGTAGAGGTATTGAGGGATAGATAACCCATAGAGTATGCATGTGTTCCATGGTATCCCTACTATGTCAGAAGTTTTAGAGGAAGATCTCCAAAACAATAAATCAAGAGAGGTGATTGCTTTAAATTATTCATAATGACAATAGAACTAGATCTGTTTTACTTCTTGTGCAACAACAAAACCCAGTCTCCTGGTGAAATTTCTGAAGAGAGCTGTTTGTAGTTTCTCATATATTTGCCATAGGAAAATAGTGGTTCTAAGCAAAATATGACTGAGACCCAAGAAACTGAGCTTCTCTGAATTTTATACATGTAAAGAGTTGTTTTGCATCTTTTTTATTTAAAAAAGGTAGAGCTCTTCATCTGGTTTGTGTAACACGTACTCTAAAGGTTCATAATTATTCAATTAAATTGTCTAATGATAAATCTTTGTTGAGTTAAATGATCTGTCTACTAGTCTTTGGAATAAATCTAGTCTAAGTTCCAAAAATAGAAAACTCTACTCCCTCAGAAGTTATATGTTTTTAAAAAATTGTATTCTATTTGGGTGCAAATAAAGACGATAGCAGAAAATACCCAAACTATTAATTTGAAATCTGTCAGAAAGTATTCTCAGAATTTTTAAGTGAACCTGATCCATTTGATATTAAAGTTTGTAATTAATGTGTTGACATTACTTTTGTTAAAAAAAATAAAAGTAGTAATAAATGTATTGTTCAACAACAAGATATAGGCAGAAATATATGTGTATACACATATATGAACACATATATATTTGGTTATATTGGATATAAATACAATGTCCAAAGAGTTAGGTGATATCATTAAAAAGCACCTCAAACTTGACTCAATGCATTCTCATTAATGTTATCTCCTAAAGTGGTAAGAAATCTTCATGTTAGTGAATCAACATCTGTACAATCTTTACCAATATCTCTTAACTCCTCACTCGTGAGTTGGGATCATAAATACAACAGTTTAACACATTTCAAATGTTTTTAGCTTAACTTGTAGTTGCTTCTTTTAAGATATCACTGTTAATGCTGTAAAAAAAAAAGCAACTATCTAATACTTATAATTCTGTCAAAGATTGAACAGTCACTTTTCTAATTAGGATTACTAGTCTTACTTTTTTTGAATTTTTATAATTCAGTTTTGTTTATTGAAGATTTTTACTGAATCATCACACACACACTCCTTATTGCACATTTTTATCTGCTTTTACTAGATAATTATCTAGTTAGGTTCTGAGATTAATTTTCTAATAGACAGATTTTGAGGCTCATTGCCAATATGATACAGTAATTGTGCACTATACTTTAAGAGAACTAAAACAATGCCAGACAAGAAATTAGGGTTTATTATGTTAACCTAAATATAAATTATCTTGATATAAATTTGTCCGTGTAACCACCTACTAAATGACTAGTTGCTATACATATACTAGTTCCTATAGCATTTATCAAAATAGCAGTTTCATTTAGATTTTACAAAATAAGCTGGAATCATTTCAAGATTTTTAGATAGATTAGCACAGCACAATTTGTATTTTTCTAACTCCTTAGTCATCAGCTTGAAATCAACATTATTGATGTGCTTCAAGCAAATCAACCAACAAACATTTATTAAACCCCTTCTACATGCCAGTAACTGTGCTAGATAATAGAGAAGTTTTTTTAAAAAACTCATTTAATTTGCTTCCCATTCCTCTCTCCTCCGTTATTCAGAATCAAAAGCATATTTAACCCATTTAATATTAAGTTGTTTTCTTGTTTTTTTAATGTCTGTATCCAATTTCGTTTCTAGTAAGAATACCAGAACCTCAGATACTTTGAACAAACAACAGACCCTGAGAATGCACATTGATATCCCCCGTGCACAACTTCTAATAGAAGAGAGAGACACAATGGAAACCATTGGTAAAGTATCACTGTACTTGTTATTCAACTTTAGAGGATATAAATATTGTACAGTGCCTACTTCAGGATAAGGGAGAATATTTAAATTTAAACACTACCACAGAAAATAATCAGTGGTGTTATGGCATGAAAGAGGGAAATTGACAAGTAGAAAGTTTACCTAAAAAAAGAATAAAAATAATTTTAATTCATCTCTGAACCAAAAGCCTTAGAGTTCACTCTTAGCATAATTGTACATGGAGATGAGTGCTAGAAAACCTCTACTGACTCAGAAAGAGACTATAAACTTCCTAGTATCCTAGAGTCCAAAATCAACTTAACCAGCAAGTTCCTAAGGCTCTGTTTCTTGAACTTAACTTTACGATGAATAGGAAAACTTATGAATGGAGCTCCGTTATAATAACCTCAATGTAACTATAAATGAATTTATGGTATTTCTGCTCCTTTTCCCCTGATGCCTCTTGAAAGTCCCAATGGAATGGGAGAATGGCACAATAATTCTATATTCCTATCCTTGACTTTACCATATGACACTTCAGGAATCTTGGACCATCCTGGTTTCTGCTTCAGAAGATCTGGGACAAGACCAGGAATAAAATCATCCCCACAGTTAACTTAACAAGTTTGGTTGTTGTCATGTTAACAGTTTGGAGAAATGTTTATTAAGTCTAGCCAGGACTCGATCATTTATTAAATGATTCTCTGGTGGCCTACAAGAGTCAATATGTTTCCCAACATACCTTACCTTACTAGGTACTTTTTTACAAGTCTGCTCATAACAGGAAAAACTTCCATTTTTGTTGTGTTTTGACTCTAGTCTTTGAAATGAAATTTCCTCTCAATCTTTTTTTATTGCCCTGGGTCAAAAATAAAAATGTAGTTACTTAAACTTCTAATATGGCATGTAACATTTGCTAAATGTTTCTACCATGACTAAGTAATAATCCAATTGACAGAAATTTTCACATATAGATCCTATGCATACATTTTCTGGGCATCAGCCAAAATTTGCCCTTTTTTTTTTCACTGTCCCTCTGTTGCTCTTGTTTCTGCTCTCTAAAGTCAAACAAATTAAATCTGATGTCTCTTCCCCATGACAGCCCTTCAAATTCCCAAAAACATCAATCATGCCCATCTTGAGTTTTTTTCTTATTCAGGATAAACATTTCCAGTTCTTTCAACCAAATTTGAGATGACATAGGCTATCTTGATTGCATTCCACTGGACACACTCTACCTTACCACTTCAAGTGAAGGGCAAAGTACAGAGAAGTTGGCACCTCCTTATTTCTTGAAGCTATGCTTTTCTTAATGCATCCCAATATCATATGAATTAATGGTATCTGGATAAACAATGATGATTTTGACAAATATATAAATTCATGGCTACATTAAATGAGCATCTTAGAACAGGAGACAAAAAAAAAAAAATCAATACTTTCTTAACCAAAAAGGAAGAAAGCCCAAAGAGAAAAGAATAACTTAAAATTTCACTTACTCCTATTGCTTACAGTCAACCCTAAAATGATACCACCTGTTTATTTTCAAAAGAATTTTAGAAAAAATTGACGGAAATTTATTGATGGTTATGTTGTAATTGAGCAGCTTTTTCATTTTAGCATAATAAAAGCATACTTTTAAAAAAACAGGGCTTATTTAACTTCTCATATTTGTACAGATATTAACATTGGGCCAAAAAGGGGTAAAAGCATGAATGTATAAAGCATAAATATTTTAAATGTTTTATAGATGACCGATCAACAGTCCTACTGACTGATGCTGACTTTGGTGAGGCATCCAAGCAGAAATCACTGACAGTGACTCACACAGTCCATTACCAGTCTGTGTCTCAGGCCACTGGGCCATTGGTGGATGTTTCTGATGCCCGACCAGGAACTAGTAAGTACTAAATAAAACACAGTATCTGTGTGGGTAAAATATTATTGTTGCAGAAGACATTGTGTGTTTTGCATGACTACACACGTATAAGCTATATCTAATTGCTTACCTTCTCAATGGCGGGAGGTGGGGGAGGGAGGAAGGGAGCGAATTTGGAACTAAAAGTTTTCAGAATGAATGTTAAAAAATTGTTTTTGCATGTAATTGGGGGAAAATAAAATACTAAATAAGAATTTTTAAAAGAGAATAAAGAAGGAATAATAATGACAATTTAAAAAAAAAGAAGACATTGTAAATATTTTTCCTTCATATGAAAATACTGGAATATTTACATCTTATTTTCATGGAAAGAATTGGTTTAATAAGATGTTCCTTGAACTGTATGTATGGCACATATATATGTTTGTACATATTACACATAATATGCATACATATGTATGTATATGTGTGTATATAGGAACGCATTAATACAGGGAATTCTAAGGTAAGTGAATTTATGTATTATTCATAAACAAATAAGCATTTACCTGCATAAATGTATATTAAATATATAATTATTGTGGAAGATGGAGTGTAAGGGGTGTTCATGGAGGCCTAATACCTCTAGCATGAGGGCAACTGAGCCCTTTTCAGGGCTCTTTATCCACCTTTGGTGTTTACCTGCCACCCAGCTCTCACCTGTGGCTCCAAGAAGTTGTACCATGATCAGTGGCCACCCTGGTAAAAACCTTTAGGCAGATGGGCTAAATCAGGTTGAGGGTAACCAATGGACCTCAAACCCATTAGTGAGTTGAGGGGTGTCTTCCCCAAGCATGTAAAGACACCCCCTGTGGAATAGGTAGATGTGAACATTTTGTTTCAACAGACCATGAAGGCAGCAGAAGCAGACACTGGATAGCAGTTAGAGTTTGGTCAGACAGCAAAGACACGAAGGTCATCCACTGCATCCAGAGCCATCACTAGTCATTTTGACTTTTGTCTTGCCCCTGGGTTCCAAAGGTCCTCTGGAAGAAAAAGTGAGGCTGACAATTTTGCACAGCTCTACCTCACTTAAATCCAATTTATGAGCAAGTCAAAAAGCATCCTCAATACCATTTTACTATTTTATTATTTCATTATTTTACAATTTTATCATTTCATTATTTTACTATGTCACTATTTTACTATTTCATTATTTATTATTTTACTATGTCACTATTTTACTGTCTTACTATTTTACCTACCTTGAAGTCCTGTGGCAACAGACTAGTGATGAAACAGCAGCTACAGATACAGTGGGAGTTATAGTCACAACCCTGCACACAGGCAGCTCAGGCTGTAGGGCTGTCTTCCCAGACTGAAGCAGCACTGGAATTTGGCAACCTCCTGAGGGTCTGACCAGCCTTCTTAAGAGCTGTACTGCTCACCTCCTTGCATGAGGAAGGGGCTAGAAAAGGAGCCATAAAAATTGTCTGCTTTACCTAACCCTGACCTGCTTGCCTCAGCAGTTGGGGATCCCACCCTGCGGTCAAAAGACAAAAACATGTACAAAAATTTTTACAAAGGTGATTCCGCTCACCATTAGTACATGGAATGTGTATGCAAGAAATCCAGTAGACCTGAAAAACGAACAGTTCTTGTTACAAGACAGCTCAGCAGATATAGCTTCTAAGTAGCAGTCCTGAGTAAAAGAAGGAAGGCAGATGAAGATCAGCTTACCAAAGTAAGAGCTGGATACACATTGTTATGGAGTGGCCATAGATGTGCAGAGCACCACGAAGCTGGCATAGGCTTCACAGTCAAATCTACTATACTCAACAAGCTTGTATGGCTCCCAAAAGGAGTGAATGACAACCTCATGACAATGTGATTACCACTTGCAGGAAAGCACCATGCCACCATGTTCAGTGTGTATGTTCCCACCATGATGAACCCTGATGAGGTCAAAGAAAATTTATGAAGACCTAGAGGTCCTCATCTTCAATGCCAAAAGAGGACAACTGTTACTCGGTAATTGTGGATGACTTTAACACTAGAGTTGGCATAGACTATCAGATTATCAGACATGGCAAGGATCCTTTGGAGGAATGGAGTTGGAAATAGCAACAACAACAGTCACTTACAACTGAAGACTTGTGTGTCTCGTGACCTTCAACAACAAAATTTCATGGACGCACCCTTATGCAAATACTGGCATTTAATAGACTGTCATTGTAGGGAGAAGAAATGGAAAGGAAGTGAGAGTAATAAAGGTGATATGTGGCACAGAGTGCCTGACAGATCATAGACTTAGCCTCTCCAAGCTAAACATTCACATTCAACAAAAGCAGCAGCCTCAAGGCATTATGACTAACAAAAGACTCTATGACAAACAGATTAGAGTACTTCTCTGAGCATGAATAGTTTGTTGCTAACTTGGAGGGAAAGCTGAGCCAACATACTGTAGGTAACAGTGGAATGGTGTTTTCGTATACAGAGGATTTGGTGTACAACACTACATTTACTCATCTGGGCCAGAACACTGGCAAACATCAGGACTTACATGATGAAAATGATGGGAAAATTTAAAAGCTACTAAATAAAAAACTAGAACTCTATAGGATCTACCAAAAAGATACTTCATCCATCTCTAAAAAGGCAACATTTAACTCCATCAAAAGTAAACTACAAAGTTTAGAAAGATACAAGATTCTTGACTCAGTGAGAAGAAAGATAAAATTCAGTATTATGCTGATAACAACAATCCAAAGCATTTTTTCAATACCCTGAAGGCTATTTATGGACCAAAGACCTTTGAAGCATCTCAGCTATTCAGCACTGATACAGCCACACTGATAAGTGATAATGATCCTGGAAAGTTGGACTGAACGCTTCCATAGTGTTTTCAACAGACCATCTTCAACCAATGCTGAAGCCATTGACTGTTTACTTCAGATTGAAGTCAATCCTTCACTAACCAAACTTCCAACTGAAGAAGAGGTTTTGAATGCTATTAGGCACCTCTCATGTGGCAAAAAGCCTGGTGCTGATTTTATTCCATCTGAGACTGATAATGCAGGAAGTCCAGTACTCATATAAAAGCTGACTGAGGGGCAGCTAGGTGGTGCAGTGGATAGAGCACTGGCCCTGGATTCAGGATGACCTGAGTTCAAATCCGGCCTCAGACAAATAACACTTACTAGCTGTGTGACCCTGGGCAAGTCACTTAACCCCATTGCCTAGCCAAAAAAAAAAACAAAAGCTGACTGAAATCTTCCAGGTTGTACGGCCAAAGGAAATTATCCCTTAGGAGTTCAAGAATGCCTCCATTGTCCATCTCTATAAAGGAAGAAGGAAAAAGTTCTTTATGATTTCTCTTGATAGTCTATGATAGTTTAAGTCTTTTGTTTCTTTGAATGAATTTTATTATTTTATTGAGTTCTCTTGATAATCTAAATAGAGATAAAATAGAACTGCATTTCCAGACCACAAATTATATAAAAAAAAACAGCAGTCACTAAATCCATTTGGGACTGGTTAAAAAATAGTGTAGATTCTTCCTCATTTCTGCCTCATGGCCCACTCAGCTTCTAATCCATCTTCTGCAAGAAACCTTTCCCAAAACAGGAAAATGATAAATGTTGGAGAAGATGTGGGAAAATTGGAATACTAATTAATGCATTGTTGGTGAAGTTGTGAACTGATCCAACCATTCTGAAGAGCAATTTGGAACTATGCTCAAAGGGCCATAAAACTGTGCATACCCTTTGACCGACCAATACCACTTTTAGGTCTGTATTCCTAAGAGATTATAAAAATGGCAAAAGGACCCACATGTACATAACAACTCTTTTTATGGTGGCCAAGAATTGGAAATTGAAGGGATGCCCATCAATTGAGGAATGGCTGAACAAGTTGTGGTATATGAATGTAATGGAATACTATTATGCTATAAGAAATGATGAACAAGTGGACTTCAGAAAACCTGGAAAGACTTATATGAACTGTTGCTGAGTGATGTGAGCAGAACCAAGAGAACCACTGTACACAGTAACAGCCACATTGTGTGATGACTAACTTTCATAGATTTGGCTCTTCTCAGCAATTTAAGGATCTAAGACAACTCCAAAAGACTCATGATGGAAAATGCTCTCCATATTCAGAGAAAGAACTATGGAATCTGAATGCAAACAAAGCATAGTATTTGCTTTCTCTTTTTTGTTTCTTTGTTTTGTTTCTTCTTTCTCATGGTTCCTCCCATTGCTTCTAATTCTTCTTCACAACATAACTAATGTAAAAGTATGTTTAATATGACTGTATATGTAGAGCCTATATCAGCTTGCATGCCATCTTGGGGAGGGGGGAGGGGAAGGAGTAGTGGGAGAAAATTTAAAACTCAAAAGCTTATGGAAGTAAATGTTAAAAACTAAAAATAAATAAATTACTTTAAAAAAGAAACTTTTCCCAAATCCCCATAATGTTAATGTCTTCCCTCTGAGATAATCTCCTATATGTTCTATGTGTATGTATATGCATGCATGCATGCATGTGTATGTATGTGCATGTATGTTTACATATATACACCTGTGTTTGCACATGCTCCTGCATGCAGGTTCATATGCGTATACATGTTGTACATACTTGTTTGAATGATGTTTCCCCGTTTGCTTTTTGAAGTAGATACTGTTATTGGGGGTTTTTTGTATCCCCAGTATTTAGCTCAGTAAATGCATGCTGACTTACTGGTTGAATTGGCCAGACAAGAGAGAATCAGAAACAGTAGAACTCAGTAGTACATTGTTTGATGAACATCACTCAGGAAAGAATTGCTTATTTGATAAGAATTACTGGGAAAACTACAAAGTAGTCTCTCAGAATTAGACCTAGTTTTACTCTTAAGCCACATTCACAATAAATTCAAAATGGATATGTTAACCAAACATTAAAGATCATACTACAAAAAATGAAGAAAATCATATACCTTTCCCAGGTATGGGTAGAAGACATGGTAGAGGCAAGATAATATGGACAATTTTGATTCCAAGAAAATGCAAAGCTTCTGCACAAACAAATTAATATATGTAGGATAAGAAGAGAAGCAGCTGAATGGAGAAAAAAATATTTGCATCAAATTCCACAGATAAGATTCTGGTATCCAAGATTACCTAACAAACACATGTGCTCATGTATTAGATATGTGAATATATTTGTCTATATATACATAGATGTTTATACATACATATGACCAAAAGTCATTCCCTGATAAAAAAAGTCAAAGAATATGAACAAATAGTTCTCAAAAGAATTATTGCAAACTATTAACAATCATTTTAATAATGCTCCAAATTATTAATAAAAGAAACGAATATCAAAATAACTCTAATATTTCACCTCACATCCAACAAGCTGGCAAAAATGACAAAATATGGTCAGTGTTGGAGGGGCTATGGGAAAATAGGCCCACTAGTACATTTGTCGGAGCAGTGCACCAGTACAACTATTTTGGAGTTGTTTTTTTTAAATAGTATTTTATTTTTCCCCAATTACATGTCAAGACAATTTTTAGCATTCGTTTTTATAAGATTTGAGTGCCAAATTTTTTTCCCTCCCTCACTCCCTCCTTCCCTTCCACTCTTTCAAAAATGGTAGGCAATTTGATATAGATTGTATGTGCCATCATATAAAACATATTTCCATATTAGTCACAATTATGAAATAAAAAAGAAATCAAAAGGGGGAAAATGTGAAAAAAGAATAAAGTAAGTGACAAAAATATGCTTTGATCTGAAGTCAGAGTCCATTCTTTCAATGCCTATTTTGCCCTCTGGTTCAAGGACATCAGGGCATTTTTCCTTGATAATTTTTCGAAAGATGCTGTCCAGGTCCAACTTTTGATTATGGCTTTCAGGCAGTCCAACGATTCTGACATTGTCTCTCCTAGATCTATTTTCCAGTTCAGTTGATTTTCCCATGAGATATTTTACATTTTCTTCTATTTTTTCATGCTTTTGAATTTGTTTGGTTCATTCTTGATATCTCATAGAGTTATTAGCTTCCACTTGCCCAATTCTAACTTTTAAGAAGTTGTTTTCCTTAGCTTTTGTACTTCCTTTTCCATTTGGCCAATTGTATTTTTTAAGAAGTTGTCTTCTTCAGTGGATTTTTGTATCTCCTTTTCCACTTGGCCAATTCTACTTTTTAATCAGTTTTTTTCTTTTTCCAAGCTGTTGACTCTTTTTTTTATATAATTCTCTTGCATCATTCTCATTTCTTTTACCAATTTTTCTTCTCTCTCTCTTCTATGATTTTAAGATCCTTTTTGAGCTCTTCCATGAGTCCTTTCTGGGCTTGAAACCGCTTCCTATTTTTCTTTGGGGTTTTGCCCATTGGTGTTTTGACATTATCCTTTTCTGAGTTTGTGTCTTGATCTTCCCTGTTACCATAATAACTTTCTATGGTCAGATTCTTTTTTCGTTGTTTTTTGCTCATTTTTTGCCCTTTTTCCTTTCTTTTAAATATGAGTTCTGTTCCTGGGATCGAAGGGGCACTGTCTTGGGCTTCTTGTGCCAGGGGCGGCTGTCTCTGGCTGTCTACTTTGTGCTGCACTGGAGTTGCCTGAGGCCCACAGGGGACCCTCCTGTCTGGGTGCTGTACTGAGATAATAGGGTTGTGGGATGGCTGGTGCTACTGTAGGCCCAAGGGGTCTGGCAGCTTACCTGGAGCTGAACCCAGGTCCTAGTGCTGCTATCTGGCACATGCTGAGGCAGGTGCAGTGTCTCTGTGTTTTCCTGGGGCTACACTGAAGTACATGGTGATCTGGAGACTTGCCTGTTTGCCCAGGGTTATGCTGAAGCATGTGACAGTTCTTAAATCTGGAGTCTGCCTATTCCCCTGGTGGGTCCCGGTATTGGTGTTTGCCTGCCCCACCACATTGGGGCACAGGATTTCCTGCTGGTGTGCCAAGGTGGGGTTTGCTGTGGCTTGCTGGGATGCTTCCTGACCTGAACTGCACTCCCCCTTTTACCCAAGTGAAACAGGTTTTTCTTGCCAATCTCCCAAGTTTCTTGGGCTAAAATATTGTTTCACTCTATCTTTTTGCTGATTCTGCTGTTGCGGGATTTGTTTTGGGGAGCTATTTTATGATTGTTTAGAAGTGAATACGGGAGAGTTACAGTGATTTACTTCTTACTTGGCCATCTTGCCTCCCAGAGCACAATTATTTTGTTTGTAAATAAAATGACTAAAATGTCCATACTCTTTGACCCAGAGATTCCACTAATAAGCATATACCCCAAGGAGACCATTGATTAGAAGAGAGTCCCCATATACATCAAAATATTTATAATAGCATTGTTTATAGTAGCTGACATTGGATTATAAAGAGCACTGGGCTAGATATGTGAAAAGCTGGGTTCTAATTCCTCATATCTACAACTGTATAATCAAGCACCAAGTCACCTTTCTGGGCTTCAGATGTGTAGGGTTGGATTAGATGACCCCTGATAATCCCTTCAAATTCTAACATTCTCTCTTCCTTTACCTTTGGTATTTTAGTGAAAACCAAGAATAGTCACAGATCAACTTCATTTTGAAGTCTTCCCTAACTCTATTTTCTTTCACACACCTACACCACACCCACACCCTGCAAGCTAAAAGGGGCTTTTCCTCTTCCTTAGATTTCTCCTAACACTGTGTCTTTATTCTAATCACATCCCCTTATGTATCAAGGCTTCCTCTAAATAGATTAGGTTTTCTTTGAAATATGGTCAGTCATTTTTTTTTCTTTGTATCCTCTTTGCCTAATTTAGTACCTTTGCACATAATAGGTGCTTAGTAAATGCTAATTGAATTGAATTGAATGTCACAAGGAAGTATGGGTTATGTGGCCAATGAGAGTGCAAAAAATAAGTGTTATCTGAATTCAGACACTACCACGGGCTCAAGCAGTCAGGAAAGGCTTTAGAGAGAAGTTGGGCAAGTAGAGCCTTAAATGATAAGTGTGATTAACATAAAGACCAAGAGAATCAATTCAGTTTAGTCCTTCTGCCAACAGTGGTCTTGTTTGGCTGATTTCTTATTATGTAGTAAAGAGAGATACTGTGTTTTGCTCTTTACAGATCCCACAACAAGGAGGAATGCAAAGGGTGGGCCCACAGCTCGAAACAGATATGCCAGTCAATGGACTCTCAATAGGCCCCACCCCACCATCTCAGCACACACTCTCACTACAGACTGGAGATTACCAACTCCAAGAGTCACAGGATCAGTGGACAAAGAAAGTGATAGTTACAGTGTCAGTCCCTCACAAGATACAGGTATGAGTAACACTGTTCTGCTGCTCTCTGACTCTCAACGGCCACAGTATTATTGCAACCAGACTGAAATCACAATATTACATCCATGAACTGTTCCTGTTTTTCATCATATCATCTTGAAGAGAACCCTAAAAATCCAAAGAAATTTCTAGCCTATTTATGACCACTCCAATTCTGTAACCTCAAGTCAGGGCTGAACAACCACCACAAAGTAGACTAATCAGAGTACTGTGGGTGTTATATAGCTTTGCCAAAAGTACAAGAATGATCACTACTCTTACTCCCCCTTTTTAAAGTCCTTTTCTCTGGGAATATAAAATAAAATTAAAACTACCCATAGGAATCAATAAGGAAAAATAACATCCCCTCCGAAGAGAAATACACAATTTTGAATATACATTTGCTTTGTCTATTTTGCTTAGATGTTTTTTACAAGGAAGTGGAGATGGGTGTCCAGTTTAAGGAATAAAGATAGTGGCATTATAAATAAAAGGAAACAATTTTTTTTTAAAAAAGGTTACCCCCCCCACACCCCTAAACATTTTTCTATTGATCTTCTAGAATCTCCTGACTTATCTACAGTGAAAGCTAACCCAAGAATATCTGGTCTCTGAGACTATTCTCAACATTTAGGGCAAACGTTTTGAATATATTAGCAGTCTGGTCAACTCAGAAAGCGACTAAATTTAAAAATAGTTCAGTTATTAAGTAAACCATCCTACCAGTAGCCAGTTAACCCTAAGAATTCATTTCTTACAGGAAATAATGTTTAAGAATAGTACTCACTGGGCATTAGATTTTTTTGGGGGGTAGTGGTTTTTTATTCCTTCAAAATATTTAAATAAATATATATCAAAATAATAGCCAAAGATAATTTGAATGTACAACTTTAACTTTATTATAATCTTCAGAAATAGAGTACAACAAAGGTAGAACAGGGAGGAACCTCACCGTGAAATTTTCTTTTATAAATACTTATTCTTCCTAAGTGACTTTCTTAGAATTTTATGGAAATGGATTCAAAATTAAATTAAAAATATATAGATTCAATGAGTCAGAAATTCTTTTATTTAAAAATGAAGGCGTTTTTCTTTTTTTTTGCTATCTAACCAGTAAGATGAGTCCAATAATATGATGCTAAATCCAAGAGTATGATGATCACTTTCTCAGGGGAAAAAAAACTATTTGAAATAATCAAACTTATTATTCAGTCAGAAACTCATTTCTAACCACATTCACTTCTTCCTTCCCTAGCTAGGACTCTTGGGAACATAATCAGTAGCCCTCTTATTACTCATGCCTGTTAAAAAGGATATCTTCTTGGTGGCAATTCAGGAGAAGTATAGTGTAGACAGGAGACATCATTCTAACTTCAATACTTCAAGAATTTCTAATTTGTTCCCTCCGCCTATATACATTACAGCCACTCTTCATTTTCATGCATCATCTGAAGAATTGCTATAGCAAAAAAGAAAAATATCATTATGTTGCAGCCACCCTCATGATAAGTCTCTCCAAATTTAGCTAGGCCAATCTTCTGGAATATAGGCATAATCTGCCCCTGACCCTGCTAAAGTTTTGTTTTGCTGCCAGAGCCTTCAAGAATTCATGATTACTTCTATTTGGATTTTTTTAATTAAAAGGTAGGTATTAAAGGAGTCAATAATCATTAATTTGGGGAAATTTTTAGCCTGGAATATTCTGATCATAGAAGAATTAGACTTTATTGAAATATTCATTAGGTGAATGAAATTATTCATTAATTCACTACAGCTTATTAAGCCTACCATGAAAAGCATCAGAAATTATTTTTATGTTTCCTGGTACTCATGTACCTCTGCATTTCTCTGAAAGATTAATATTTTATCTGTAATCCAAGCTGTTACATTATGTTATATTTTGCCTAGATCGAGCAAGAAGTAGCATGGTCTCCACAGAAAGTGCCTCCTCTACCTATGAAGAACTAGCAAGAGCCTATGAACATGCCAAGATGGAAGAACAATTAAGACATGCAAAGTTCACTATTACAGAGTGCTTCATATCAGACACATCTTCAGAACAGTTAACGGCAGGGACTAATGAATACACAGACAGTCTGACCTCCAGCACCCCTTCAGAATCAGGGATCTGCAGGTTTACTGCATCTCCCCCTAAACCTCAGGATGGAGGACGAGTAATGAATATGGCAGTTCCAAAGGCACATCGACCAGGTAAGAAAATGTACTCAATCATTCTTAGGGGAAAGTTGATTTTTATTTCCTATTTTATGGTTACTTTGGATGTTTGGGATAGGCTATTCCATAACAAGCAAACAAACAAAACAAACGAATGAATTAACAAATCCAGCACGTGAATCAGAAGTGAGGTTTATTATATCTTGCTTTTGAAATCTTTTGTCATTGATCAAATTGACAGTCAAGGGGAGAAGTGCATTCTTGGTTATATAGTATTTGGAAACCACTCCAAAGCTTAAAATACCTAGCTATATAAATATCTGACTCTAATTTGGACACTGATAACACACACACACATACACACGCATATGCACGCACATGTACACACACTTATATGTGTACATACATATCACATAAATATATATACACACATACAGGTGTGTGTGTGCATGAGTGTGTGTGTGTGTGTGTGTGTGTGTGTGTGTATGTAAATGAGAGTTTGGAGGGAAAGGCAGGAAGGCAGGCAGACAGGTAGTCAGAAACAGGACTGAAACTGACAGAGACAGATATTAATTTATATTACTTTAGTGGATAGACCTAGGCTATCCTATTGAATATACTTTTATTTTGCCTGTTGCTCATTTAAAAATTTTGCTGGTTCTGTTTCAAAAATGTATCCTTGCTTTAAAATAATTATTATTTTTTCTTATTTGATGACATAAAGGCTGTCTTAATGAACCCTATAAATACATAACAATAAAAATTCATTTTATTAATTGAGTAAAGAATAATCCTGAAGTAATTAAAGATACATGCCCAAAAAAAGGTAAAGAAAGATGGTTTCTTGTATTTTCCTATTTATGTGCTTCTTGGGTAAAAGATGGGTTTTTTGAGATTTGAGAGCAGCTATATATTTTCTGGAATTTTTAATGCAATTGCGTAGTTGACATTGCTTAACGTGGCATTCCATGTAAGTATGGGACACTGGTCATATGGCTGCAAAATAGGGACAGATAAAATTCAGGTTCTTTAAATATGACAAAGACAATAACAATAACAGTATTAAATTAGAGAGAGAGAGAGAGAGAGAGAGAGAGAGACGCAGCATGTAGAAATGAACAGATAGCCATTCGTAGAGTCAAGAAGGCCTGGTTCAAATCCTACCTTTGACATTTACAGGCAGTGCTAGACTGAGCGAGTTACTGACCCACTCAACTTTTTAAGACTAATTTGTTAAACAATTCTCAAGCTTCATTGGTAGAGAGAATTTCCTCCAAATAAGTTCCCTATACTAATGAAATCATAATCTGGACTAAACTATTCATGATGACAATGTAATAATAAAGTTAATATAACACTTTAGGATTTGTGAAGTACTTTACATACATGTAAAGAGCCCATGTGCTTTTTACATAAAACTTGTGAGGGAGACCCCTAGTAAGTGTCAGATGCTTACTACTCTTTTCTTGATCTATACATGTAGAAAGCTATACTTGCATCATAAGTCCCTATGCTCTAGAGAAGGGAAGGTTTGGGGAAGATGAAGCTGAGATGAATAGATTGTCAGGGCTCAGAAGAGGACATGGAAGTTAGATATGCTCTATGTTTTTCTGGATTTATGTAATATATCAAGATAGTCATGTGGTGCCTAGATATGCTAATTGTTCACCTCCACTGAGTGAATTCTGCCTTCTCCTTCAGCTTCAGTTAGTGTAATGGCAATCAGTTAATCAGTCAATTAATTAAGAATTTATTAAGTACTTGTTCTGTGCCAGACTTTTTGCTTAGATGCTATGGATACAAATGCAAAAATCAAATAGTCCCTGAATGTGTAACATTAGCAAGCATCGAAGGCAGATTTATAAAATATGGCCCACGTTCATAGTAACTTTATACTTAAAAAGGTTAATTATGAAGTGGTTTGTGCTGACACTCCCAGTGAGAAAACACAACTCTCTGGGAGAATCATCGGAAAGGTCCCTGGTGTCCTTCTGACACAAAGAGACCCTAAGCAACAGAAGGACAGGGTCAACCCTGGGTGATTATGAGAAATAATATTAAATCTAACAAATGTATTCTTTCCCAAGATGAATAAAAACATACCCATACAAGTAAGTGGAAGAAAAACAGAGGCAGTGACCACACATTCCTCTCCTCTGGCTTGTTTCTTTCAATACTCTTGTTATTGCAACAGCTGCCCACCACACCATCACACACAGATCAGCTTCTCCATTTAGAAAAGTGACAAAATGAAAGATTAGACATTTTCTGATCCCCACAATCTCTCAAACCTTTTTTTTCCAAAATAGGAATTATATGTCAGGTATCAAGCTGTCTAGGACATCAAAAAACAAAATAATGTGAAAACTTAATAAACTAACAGCAGAGAAGGCAAATAATCCCTTATGCAGACTCACTTAGCATCCCTTTCCCCAATGCCCACAAAACATCAGGAGTGTACAAGCTCACCAACGTACTTGAAACAAAGCTAAACTCTCCATCTCCCCCAACTTTCCCAGAGACCTGAGATCCAAATGGCAAAAAGTTCTGACTGTAATAGCAGCATGACAACTCTCTGTCCCTCAATAGAGTTTGACTGCAAAACTAAGGGACAAAGGGAATGTGTATCTACACTTCCAATAAAAATCAGCTTACCTCTCCTCCATGCTATGGAGATCCAAACTTCAAACTAAAGAAATTTGTGTATTCTAAGATAATAGTGTGGTAGTTCTCCATATTACTGCCCAAAACTTTTGAATATATAAAACTAAGTCTTAATCAAAAAAAAAAAAAATCTGAGGCAGGTAGGTGGCACAGCGGATAGAACACTGGCCCTGGATTCAGGAGGACCTGAGTCCAAATCTGGCCTCAGACACACAAAAGCATTTACTAGCTGTGTGACCCTAGGCAAGTCACTTAACCCCATTGCCTAGCCAAAAAAAAATTAAAAATCCACAGGTCATCTCTGGGGGAAAACTCTATGTCACAAACTCTAAGACACATAGCAATTAAATGGTACAATTCCACTGAATACAAATTCTGCAAGCAACCAGTAGAAATAAATTAAAATATAAAGGGAAGAAAATTCAATTAAACAAGATTATCTCACCATTCACCACAAAAGAGAACTGAATATTGTGGTCCGAAGAGCAAATGAGTTCAAGATGCAACCCAAGGTAACCTACTCTGCAAATCTGGTCCTAACCATAAATGAAAAAAAGATTGATATTGAATAAAGTAGAGGTGTTTGAAACACTTCTAGAAAGAAAAACATACCTGCAGAAATCATTAGTTTCTCAAGCACCTACACACAAAAGAGATACATGAAGGGTAAATAAATACAGCAACCAATAACAACAACAACAACAAAATAATAACAAAGAGAATATTAACAGATTTCTTTCTAAAGGTCCATAAGGAGACAAGAGTGAAAGCACAAGTCAAATGTAATTGATGATAGAGAAAAAAGCCTGAAATATCATGGACCAAACCTTACAAAATTCTGTTTACAAATGAATAAATAGTTATTGTGGGACTGAATTACAGTCATATAAACTGAATTATAGGCATCTAAAAAGGGGAAAGGAGAAGGTAGAGGACAGCACCTTATGTAATGTAATCAAATCAAAGGCTAACAATGAAAAAAATAACTCTTATAGTCTCTTCGAAAGAAATAAATTTAAAGGAGAATGAGTCAGAAGAGAAAAGGAGGGATTTTTAAAAGAGGAAACAAAGGAAGGAAATCTTGTTTCAGAAACTGGAGGGGATAATACTGATGAATGCTCCTATAAAAGATGAGTGATATTGCATAAAGGAAGATGGGGATCTTATAGTTGGTGGTATCTTCAGGAATTTGAGACTTAGACCACTCATCCTGACCCATGAGAAAGGAATTTAGAACTCTTTGGGGCAGCTAATATCCAGAAGACTGGTAGGATATAGATGCAGGAAAGAGATTTTAAGAAAATGGGGAAAGATGACCAAGAGAAAAGCACAGATAAATAACGAACTGGACAATTAGAGATATAGAAACAATTCTACCATTGGGCAATATCTTATCACCTGTGGGAACTGGTATTTCTAAGAGTCAGGCACAACATAAAAAGAAAGAAAGAGATCAAGCTCTACAAAGCAATAACAGGAAGTTTTTAGAAGAGGGAAAAAATAGGTACCTCAAAAATTTTAGTTCCACAAGGAATACAGAGATTAAAGTAAAACTAAATAAGTTATGTTATTTTAGTTATGAATTAAAGAATAAAAGTTCAAAAAGGAAAATAAATAATGAAGAAAATGAAAGAAAACATTTTCAGAAAAATACACACTAAGTGACAAAACTAGCAGAAGGCAAGGAGAGAAAAAAAGAATTGTACTTGATTAAATGAAGAAGGGAAAGGGGAAGGAAGAATTTAATAACTACAAGCAAAAAAAAAAAAGGAAATAAACAAAAGTCCAAAATTAAGGAATTATTCATTTGTAGAATATATTTATTCACCTGTAAACAAAAGGGAAGGGAAGGGTTTGAGGGTAAAGGGAAGAGAGCTGGTGGGAATAAAGTTCCCTTAAAATATATTAAGCTAAAATATTTTAAATTAAATAGTATTGTATTTGCAGAGGAAAGAAAGCAAATCCTAATTTAGGAGAACATATTGGAGACAAATAGAGGCAAATAGAAACCTACCATTGATAACTTCAAATGTGAATGGACTAAACAATCCAATGAAATGTAAAAGAGTAATGGTGCATTCTATGATACATTCAAAATAGATACAATCTTAATATTTAAATTGATATATAATCTTAAATTAAAGATCATACTATAATGAAAATTAGAAGAAAAGTAGATCACATAACTCTCACATATATGACTAGGAGATACATTCTTAACCAAAGAAGGGATAGAAACAATTACTAAAGATAGATAACTTTGATTACATGAAACTGAAAAGCTTTGGCACAAACAAAATTAATGCATCTAGGATAAAAAGAGAAGTTGGATTGGAAAAACCTTTGTATAAAATTTTTCTGATAAGGTTTTC